GACCAGGCTCTCACATCACCAAGCGCGAAGCGCCGTGAGATATTCGGCGAGTCGCATGAAGGGTGCGCTGCATCCTGCTAAGGGTTTTCGGCATCTTGTGCTTACTCCCTTGCATACGGATGACAGCTACGTATGAATTAATTCATTTTCTGGTGCTTTCACTTCTAGAGACAGTTGAAAGCACTGTGTACCTGCCTCGAGGAGGCTTGACCATTTTAACACAACGTGGTGCGATCATCCCCCTTGCGCGGAGCGAGGGTTCTCGACCCCGCACAACATGATCTACTCGACCACCATTATGGTTACCGCCCAAAAAAAAACGGAGGAAAAAAAATAAAACGGTATCCTGATTGCCCGAGTTCACGAAGTGAATTGGCTGTTTTACAACGTCGTTGCCAAGCGACGAAAACCCCATCCCGGTGGCAAACACCGGGGGGGGGTGGCTTGTTTTACAACGTCGTTGCCAAGCGACGAAAACCCAACCCCGATGGGGGGGGGGCGAATTGATTCAGAAGGGCGGGTATGGAGAACGAGAGCAAGCGCACAGACACAACAACAACACCAAGCAGCAGCAGCAGCAGCAGCAGCGCTGACTCCAGACTGGTTGTAGCGCACACTGCTGTAGCTCACGATATGTCCCCCAAGACACATTGAACCGACCCTACGGCACAAACCGATAATTCTCCGATCGACCAACCTTCCCCCACCTGCATGGTCTGCTGGATCGCCAACTCGGGGTCCTCGTGATGGTCGTCGTGCTGGATGGTCATGTCTGGCCGGAGGTTGGTGCCTTGCTGGACCAGGTTCGCGACGGGAGAGTCCACCTGAGGCCGCGACGACCACCAGGAGAGAAAAAAAAAAAAAGGGAGGGAGTGGGGCACAAAAAGAACACAAGAGAGCGCGCCATTTTATGCAATATCGAGATGAGGCGAAGGCAAGCACGCACCACGCCTGGCATGTGAGAAACAACGAAAAAAAGCAATCAACACCAGGATAAATGTCCTACGAGAGGCAGGGCAAACCGCTTCGCCAATTGGCGCCGCGTGTATGGGTTGGTACAGCAGGACCGGGAAGTCTTGAGTATCCACCCACGGCCTGAACGTTTAGAACGGCTCATCGATGTACGTGTCATGTGTACGATGGGACAGACATGGACCCTGAACAAACCGCAGCTCCAAAACAACCTTTACGAAGGAGGCATGCGCTGCGCTGAGAGAAGACGACTGCAAATTGGACAACACATTGAGCTTGTGGCAGGCAGCTCATCGCTTACGGAAAACAGCCCGCGCCCCCCCCCCCCCCCCCCCCCGCCCCGGGACACGGGAGAGGGCACAGAGACAACCACGAGAAACAGAAAAACGCCGTCCTGCTGTGGGCGACCAGGGTGGGTGAACATCGGCAGAAAAACCATGACCCATAAACCACTGCTGCACCAGAACAAAAAAAAAAGCTCCTGTGTGACCGTCCTCTCCTGTGTTTCCTCGGCAGATACATACGCGAAACATATGTACACCGAAAGGTGTGGGCGTAGAGGCCGGGGCCAGAATACACAGCCGGGGCGAACACAAACACGCAGGGCGCGTTCTCATTGGTCAGCCGGCTAGCGCTGTCGATGCTAACACACACACACACACACACACACACACACACACACACACACACAACCGTATTCGTCTTACCTCCGAAAACACCATGACGAGGCGCAGCTTGCGGTGCAGCACCCGCGCGGCCAGGATGGAGCCGGAAGAGAACGGGTCGACCACCACCACGGCGGCCGTGGGCAGGGGCGTGGGGCACACCACCTCGAAGTCGAAGAGGCCCCGCTTCTCCAGCGATCGGACCCGCTCGTACTCTGTTTTTTTTTTTTTTGTCATGCCCCATCGTTCCCACGGTCCGTCCGCCGTCGTGCCGGCCAACACGATCGCGAGAAAAGGAGGGACAACAACAATGTCCCCCAAGGTGGGTAATCTCATGGTGTGGGGGGGATCTTATCTCAAACACGATCAATGAATGTGCCGTAGCGGCTGGTCTCGTGGTCCACCAACGATTGGTCTGTGGTACGCACGCGGTGGGTGATGGTGTTCGCGCGGCTACGGTACGGTAGTGGAATCCCGCGATGCGGCGGGGTCCCGATGAGTAGCGAGAAGTCACCACCCCGCGGCACGCTCAACCCGCACACGAATTTCAACCAAATTGCGTATTCTTCAACATGTTCCGGCAAATTCTGCGCTATTGGCTCTTGTTTGTGCGTCAGGAAGAAAAAGAGCGTGCCAGGCCCGTTGTCGTAGTGGGTTGCTGTCACCTACCCCTGTCACCTACCCCTCAACACCGTCGCCTCCTCCTCGTGCACCATCTGGACCGACCCGGGCCTGGTGAAGCAGTCCACAGTCTGGTACACGAAATCCCGCGGCTTCGCCACCACCTGAAGACGCAATGTTAGGGTGATGACGGCAACGGCAAGCAACTTGTAAGGGTAGGCACCGGCATATAAAAGCTCGAAAAATGAAAACAAACAGACTTGTCGCAGANGGGGGGGGAGCGGGAGGGGGGAGGGGGGTTGAGGAGAAGACCCCTGTTCTTTGATCCGGACGATGATACTCCGGGGGTCGATCTAGATGCTAGATTGGAGGATGCACGGTTGACCATAGTGCGGTGTCCACATCGACGAACACAATCAACCGCAACAATCTTCTCCCCCACCTCCTGTCTTCGGAACGACTCGAACTTCTGGATCTCTTCCAGGCCAGGGAGGGCGCGGAGCATCCCGCTCTGCCGCGACACGAAGAACACCTCCCGCCCCGCCTTCTTAAGGTCCATCGGTCGCATCGGCATCGCCTCCCACGCCGACGGCTTGAGGTACGAGTTGAACGTCATGTCGATCTGTAAAGGTCACCGAGACGGGGTCCACGCGAGCGGCGGCGTCNGGGGGGGGGGGGGGGGGGGGGGGGGGGGGGGGGGGGGGGGGGGGGGGGGGGGTCGAGAAGCTTAAACGCGAGGCTCACGCGGGTCAAAAGAATGGAATCACGAACGTACTAGGTAGGATGTTGGTTGATGTTTTGTGAGCCTTTTGTCATGGACACGGGTTATTCGAAACGAGGATGCCCATTTCTGTCTGCTGCTCCGTCGGCGTTTTCTTGGCTTCCAACACGCAGTCGAGCTTCACAAACGCCTATTCGGCAGACAGAGAGTAACGGAGGGCCTTCAGCTGCAAAAGCAGCGAGAGCAGCGGATACAGCGAACCAAACACCTGAGCAGAGGAAGAACCCCGCCCCCTTCAATGCTTGCAACAACAACAACAACAACAACAACAACAACAGCAGCAGCAGCAACAGCAGCAGCAGCAGCAGCAGCAACATCAACTCGCGCGTGTCATTCGTGCCTGGTTATAGCCGAGGCACTCGTCCGCGATGGCCTGCCAGGTGCCCTCTCCCCCGTGGCAGCGCGTGCCGACCTCGACGAGGCAGGGTCCGGTCGTCGTGAACTTCACCTCCATGTGCCCCGGGCCGTGGACGACTCCCATGGCGTCTGAGGGAGTGGACGCAAGCCCCATCCAGCACATCATCGTCATCATCATCGTTAGGCAGTGACAAGCAAAAGGGGCCTTTGCGGGGTACGCTTTTTCTTCTGTGTCCGTGGGACGGCGCACGTAAATACTGCTGTATACACACGTGAGACATCAAATCTGGACCCAAAGAAACGAAAAGACGATTTCGACGGACGCTTACACAAGACGAGACATTGATGTTGGGGGGACCAAAAAAAGGTAGAGTTGGCATTCGGATAGAGACCTCGGAAAGAACAGGACAAATCCTTTTTCCAAGGGACGCATCGGAAACCACCAACTACTCAAAAAGCATGTACCATGACGAGGCTTGACAAGGAGATACAAGTCTTGGGGGTGAGATCATAGCGATTGTTCGCACGCCATCGGCGTAGATTTCCGTGTGGCAGTTTGTGGCCAAGAGCACAATTTTCGCGTCCCGTGGTCGTGCGCTTGCGAGCAAACAAATGCAATGTGGGCTTCATCGCACAGAGGATGAATGCTCACCGAAAGAGAAGAAGTCATGCAACAGAAAAACCACACAAAAAGTAACTTCAAGCAGCACTTGCGGTGTCAGGCCGCGGTAGGCCGATCAACGAGCANACCCCCCCCCCCCCAGCCCCCCAAAAAACAACAACAGCCAGGATTGGCGGAAAACCCGACTACCGACACGAAGAAGTTAGTAACGAGAACCTACCCAACACCTTGACCGCGTAGTCCACGATGGCCCGCTCCCTGTCGCCCTTTGCGGAGTTGAGCTTCATGCCGAAGTAGACGAAGTTCGCCCCGTTAACCGAGCGCTTGTCGTACTCCCAGATGGCGCAGATCCGGTGGACGCCGTCCCTGCTGACGCTGTCCACCACGTACTCCGTGCCGTCCAGGTACTCTTGGACCAGAGCCCCCTCGTTCACGCCTCCCAGACCGTTCACCTGTTTACCACCAACAAAAAAAATGCCAATCGACAGTACGAAAAAAACGGCAGACACCAAAACACAACGATCACTTGCATCGAGTTCAAGATCTACAACGTTAATATAACCGACAGATGCCAAGAACAAACAAATGTGCATCGTGACGTGACGCTTGCATGCGTGGGGGTGATGAAAACATCAGGATGCGAACCGCCACAAGCGATTGTCACGTGTGTGCAGAGGCCGAAAAGCGACGTCCTAACACGCACGGACGTCGTCATGCACATACATTAGCTATCTCCGTAGATCGAGAGGCCCGCCGAGACCTCTGTTTCTCCAACCAAAGAACGAAACCTAACCGCAAGCGGAGAGAGAGAGAGGCCGGGCATCAACGGTCTTCGCTTCACCTTGCCGTCGATGACCGAAAACGCCTCCTTCACGTCCTCGAGGCTGCGGCACAGGTACACGTCATCCGACCCGGCGCTCTCAAGGGGCTTCACCACGGCCTTGAAAGGGTCCGGGTTCCAGTCCTGGAGAAACGCCTCGCAGTCGTCCCACGAGCGGGCCAGCATCTGGCGAACAGCCCGGACCCCGTGACTCCTCACCTTCCAACGGCAACAACAACAAATTTCACACGTTCAAACATCTACAGAGTCGAACGGGCGGCAGTGGTGGCGGTGGTAGCTGTAGGCTTCCTGGATGAGAGCGTGCACTCATGTACACGTGTGCCGTTGTCGCTAGACCATTGACCTCGCATCCCAACAATGTCGGGACGGAGCGATATGTCGGGTTTTCGCCGACCCAGGGTATGTGTCACAACGATGAACCAGATTCTGGTCATCACCTTTGTTCCGTACCAAACCAGATTTGCCACGGAAGGGGGGGGGGGACAGTCCGTGGCACGACCAACCCTAGCGGCCATGGCACACAGCAAGGCAAGAGACAGAGGAAGAGAGAGAGAGGCGGAAATGAGTAGCAAGACTCACCTGCTCTGCCATGAGGTGCTTGTTCCTGCGGCACTGGCTGAGCTCCTCCCCGTTGGACGCAAGCCCAAGCCGGCTCGACAGGATGTCGGCGAGCTCCACCCCCGTCTCCGCCCCTGATGCCGACAACGCAATACGTGTTGCCCGTTTCGATTGCGGGAACATGTTGTTACAGGTGGAATGCAGCAGGAGGAAACAACTAGAGCAAGGCGTAGACGAGTGGAGTAGACAAGAACAACAATCAAGCTCGAAACTCGAAGGCTTCAAACTGGCGAACATGGTCACAGATTGGATCGAGCAACTTGACCCTGTTCTCTTCAAGACACGGCGGCTCCCCTGCCCTGCTGCAAGTACGGTAGGCGGTGATTTGTTCCTCGTCGTTGGCAACTCGTGTGTGCGGAAAAACACGATTCGTTCACCTAACCGGGGTGCGGGAGTCACTCACACACACGCAGGCTACTCCCCACTCCCCACCCCAGGACATACAGTCGTACCAAACGAAAACCAAAAAAATCATAATAATCAAATACTAACTGGTACTCCGCATTACCGGAGACTACCATCGTACCACCCGGTCTCACCGTCATCTCAAACCGGTGGCGTGCTCTCGCTCCCGGCGAAGACATTCCACCGTTGCTGCTTTGAAACTCTATCGGATTCTGACAAAGCTCAAAGCCCACCCGCAACGGCAAGCTCAACATCCCCGCCGCCGCCGCCGCAGGGGGTACTACAGTACATGCTCTATATGGGCGTCCACGCCCCCCCCCCCTCTCTGGTTTCCTTTCATGGCCGCGTGTGCTAATGGCCTCGTGTGCTCACCGGGCATGACGGCGGCGATACCCCACGGCAAAAGGCTCAGCTCTCCGAGCAGTTCCGCGATGGAGGCCTCAGGGTCCGGCGACCTGTGTATGAATAGCCGGCACCAATGACAGCGGCACAATGGGAGCGAGTGAGACGGCGGCGGCGGCGGCGGGGATGTTGAGCTTGCCGTTGCGGGTGGGCTTTGAGCTTTGTCAGAATCCGATAGGGTTTCAAAGCAGCAACGGTGGAATGTCTTCGTAGGGAGCGAGAGCACGCCACCGGTTTGAGATGACGGTGAGACCGGGTGGCACGATGGTAGTCTCCGGTAATGCGGAGTGCCATAAGTATTTGATTATTGTGAATTTTTTTGTTTTCGTTTGGTACGACTGTATGTCCTGGGGTGGGGAGTGGGGAGTAGCCTGCCGGCGTGTGTGGGAGTGATTCCCGTACCCCGGTTAGGTGAACGAATCGTAAAGAGAGAGAGAGCAAGAGAGAGAGAGAGAGAGGGAGAGAGACGCGGTCAAGACGACAGCTAATGCAGAGGGAGAGGGAGGGGGGGGGATGTTCCGGTAGGGACTACAGCTCTCGTCTGAACGACAAATGCAGAGGGGGAAGAAGAGGGGGGGCTCGACATCGTGACATGCCACGCGGCGAGAAAACGAAAGTCTCGATGGTTCTGTTCTCCAGGCCTCTCACGCCTGGTCTGCCGCCCACATGGCTGCTTTGCCCTGTCCACGGTTGTACTCCCCCCCCCCCCCCCCCCCCCCCCCCCCCCCCCCCCCCCCCCCCCCCCC